TGCCAGGACTCCCTGGGGGGCATGGGGGTAGGTGCCTGTGTGAAAACACCCGCCTCCGACCAGGAGCAGCTGCCTGGTGGAGCTGACTCAGCGACGGGCCTGCATCTTTCCTTGGCCCCTCTTGTCCAGCGGTGCCCTTCACCTCCCAGACATCAGCAGGAAGCATCTCCCAGGACCAGAGAGGGCGAGCCTCTGCGGAGAAGCCCACCCGGAGCCTCTCCACCCGTCTCCCAGCCCACCATCGCTATGGCCCCAGTCTGGGACTCACCATACCTGGTGATACTTCTTTAGAATATTGTGCATCTCAGCTACATCCTCGCTGGACACAGTCTTGATGACAAAGCGCCGGTCGTAGGTGGTGAGGAAGCGGGTGCCGCAGCGGCCCTGACTGTCACTGTTGATGGGGGCACTGCGCGTCACGGAGTTCTGAAGGGCGAAGACAAAGCAAGCTGGTCTGGGGAGGGAGCACGGCCCCTGACTCACTCGTCTTCTCTTCTGGGCAGGGTCACCTTGAAGCCAACAGTGTGCAGATAAAAGGGCTCCCAGAGGGGGAGCTTCTCCGCCCCATTTCCCATGGAAAGTCTTGCTCCAGAGTGGCAAAAGCTGTTCCCTAACTCCTGCTCCTAAACCCGGACTGGGTGGGGGTGGGATTACGGGGCGGGAGACCGTCTCCTTGCATTCTGATCCTAGGAAGCTGTCCTGTGGTAGCAGACTAGGTTCACCTCCAGACATGCACGTGGACAGAAGGTGGTGGGCGGAGCTGAGCTCGCTAGACCGTGGGGTGGTGACAGAGAGGAAGCTTCACGAGACTGAAGAGGCCGGGCATGACAGCAGCAACAGACAGTCGTCACCTCATCTCCCTGTGGAGGCCCCAACCCAAGGGACATGTCCATCAAGCAGGGGCCCAGAAGACCTTTGGGAGGTGTGGCAGAGGGAACGATCCCAGGTGTCCCTGCTTCTGGAAGAGCCATGTGTGGATCTGCTCAGAGTAAGGCCGCCTCTCCAAGCCCTCCCCGACTGCTGCCCTTAACAGCACCCTTCTTTGCAAACCCTTGAGCTGGCATCTTCCACCCAAACGCCGCGGAAAGGGGCAGCTGCACCTACCCTGGGGAAGCCCAAGTCTGACGTGGGCAGGGCCTGGGAGGTCCCCACAAAGGCGCTCTATTAAAGACAAACACCCCCCTCCTCCAATCAGGGTATGAGTAGGCAGCTGACTTGCCTCTCTCTGCCAGCCTGGCCCTTCTACCAGCCAGACGGACTTGCCCCAGTCCCATTGGAAAGCAGAGTTCTATGCCCGCCTCATTCTCAGGCCGCCCTGTTGGTTCAGGAGCATCGCAGCCCCTCCTTCAACACCACTCACCCAGTGCCCAGGTAAGAGCTGAGTGAGCACCGGCGTTGAGACCATAGGGCTAAATGGGCAAAGGCAAGGAGTCTTTAGAAACCCTCGGGCTCCCGGCAGGCCACGATCTAACTTAAGGGTCAGTCTTACAGAAGGGGCTGGGGCCTCCACGCCTTTTAGGCATAAACCAAAGCACACTCTCTGCCATCAAGTCCGTTCCAACTCCCAGCAGCCCTGCCAGGAGGGGTCCAGCTGCCCCTGGGTTTCCAAGGCTGGGGCGGGAAGCCTTGCCTTCCTCCAGCCCCTGGCACCTGCTCCTCCCCTGGCAGGCCCGTCTTTAGGAGAAGGCCACCTGCTTACACGTGGGCCTTCCAGCGGGGAGGAGGGGGCAAGGAGCTCTGATTCCAGGGAGCTCGGGGCCCAGGTCCTGCTGCTTGTGAACGACTCTGTCAAGGCGGCGTGGAGTGCAGCAGAGGGCTCAGCATCAGTCTGAGATGCCGCTAGGTCTGGTACTTCTTTCATCCCCCAACGGCTGAAAGCCCACGTTCTTCCCTACTGCTAGCCAGAGAGTTCTCCCCCGTCCACCACCAGGCTCCCTGGCAGAGGAAGACAGCCTGAGGGGCAGTGCTGGGGGGAAACCAGAAGCCCCAGCACCTCTGACTCCAACTCACAGTCCCTCAACAATGGGATTGAGCCCCAATGAACCAAAGGCCTCTGGCTCTCCTGACCCAGAATGTGATGACCTCATCACCCCTGTAGGGGCAGCTGCCCTGCCCTGCCTCCCCTACCTCCCACCACCAGGACAGGGGACAGGCGCAGGAGGCGACACTCGTACCTGGCAAGAGGTGACACTACCCTTGGCGTCTTCCTTTTCTAATCTGTCTTATCTGCTTTAACAGGCCTCAGCTCTCGCTGGCAACAATTCTCTGTCTCTTAAGTCAAACTACGAAGGAGAAGGGTTCTTCAGCCGGACCAGGAATGCCAGACTAAATTGAAGCAGCCTCCCCAGGCCCACTCCCTCCCAATGCTGTCCCTCCCAGGGGGGCGGAGCCTGAGGCTGTTTGCTGCCCTCAGAATCACTGCAGAGGCCCCTGCCCCTCAGAACCCTCCATGTCCTGGGGTAAAACTACCTGAGACTGGGGCGGCCGTGGCAAGAAGACAGCACAAGAAGAGCGGCCACTTCTTGTGTTCCTCTGTGCTCCATGTGACTGCTGGGCTCAGCCCGCTCCCTAGCCCCTCCGATTCTGCAGATCCCATACCTGGTAATCCTGATCATCGATCCCAAACCTCTCCCGGAGGTTGCGGAACACCATGGGACAGTACTCCTTAAACTTAAATCGACTGGGGAGGTTCTCCCTGGGGAAAAGCAGAAACCGCCTTTGTGAATGCCTCCAGCCCAGCCCGCATCTCCCCTCAAAGCCTGGTCTGCAAAGCCTCTGTGGAGGTCTCGAGTCCCCAGAGCGTGCGTGCGTGCATGCGTGCGTGCGTCCGGAGGGGTGCAGCAGGCGCTGGAGCCCGGCAGCGTTTTCACATTTCACACCCTGTGCCCAGGTGCTCATCCTCGAAGTGCAAGACTGGTGGTTCAAATCCCCCAGGAGGCTACTCAGGGCGAAGCCCTGGAGCTCCACTTTTGAAGGGTCCAGTCACGGAAAACCCAGTTCTCTGGCACACCTGGGGTCACCATGAGCTGTGAGTGCTCACTTTGTCAAAGTAATCTAGCCGAACTCTGCCAATGTGGGTACTTTTCTATGGGTTATGTGGACCTTGAATAAAATTTACATTAAAGAAAAGTGGGGGGGGCGGGCGGGGGAGGAAACCTTACCTCAGCGGTCCTCAACCTGTGGGTCGAGACCCCTTTGGGGGTCGAACGATTCATAACAGTAGCAAAATGACAGTGATGAAGTAGCAATGAAAATAATTTTATGATATGACAAAATAATAATTTATAAATGATCAAGGGTTCATGAGGGAGGGGAGAGTAGGGAGGGAGGGGAAAAAATGAGGAGCTGATACCAAGGGCTCACGTAGAAAGCAAATGTCTTGAGAATGATGATGGCAATAAATGTGCAAATGTGCTGGACACAATGGATGGATGGATGGATTGTGAGAAGCGTTGTAAGAGCCCCCAATAAAATGATTTAAAAAAATAATAAAACCTAAAAAAAAAAAGAAAAAATGTATGGTTGGGGGTTCACCACAACATGAGGAACTGTAGGAAAGGGTCATGGCCTTAGGAAGGTAGAACCACTGCCCTGCCTGCTGGGAGGGAGACTGAGCAAAGCACCCCCCTTGCCCCACAGCACTCTAACTGGCTAAAGGCCTTCCAGGCAGGGGCCTCTCCTGCAGGGAAGAGCCTGGGAAACATCCTGGAGATGGAGCACCCAGGAAGGCGCCATCAGCTCCCACTCTGACATAGAAGGAGGGTGTCCCCGGTCAACTGGCTGGGCCCACCAATCTCTGCTCTTCGTCGGCCAGCTGACAGACCCCCCCAAAAGGTCGTCATGAAGTGAAGACTCCTCCCACTCCCCCTCTACAACTGCCTCCTGCTTAGGGACCCCCACGCAGAAACGTGCCTCCCGGCCCCAGGACGGCCAGGTCTCGTCAGCCTCTGCTTTATTCATGCCCTGTCTTCCTGAGAAGAGCACGGTCCTCTGGTCCACCGCAGCAGCACAAAAGGAATCGAGAAAGAGAAAACGAGAGGTTCTGGACCTGCTGGAGGCCCAGGTGTGAGGGGAAGAACTAGACTGGAGACCAGGACCCTGCAGGGCCGGTGGCCCGACGCCCATCACGGGAGCCCTGACCTCTGGGAGAGCAGCACTCTGTCTCCCGCCTCAGTCAAGGGCAGCCGCTCCTCTGAGTCAGCAGGTGGCAGCTATGGAGACCGACAGCTTCCAGAATAAGATGTTACTGCTTGTTATGGCCCAGAGAAGCCACTGAGCCATGTTCTCCCAGCGGGCTTCTCCCCCAGGCTAACACTCTAGGAATGGTGGAGTGACAGGTGGGGACGATAGGACATTGGCAAGGGGAACCAGGATTCAAATAGAGAGAGGAGGCAGGTGTGAGTAACCAAGGGTTCTTGGGGTGGCCCAGAGTAAGGCGGGCCCCAACTGTGCCCAATTTTTAGGCATGGCGTAAATCTAAGAAGCCACAGCGACCCCTGCTGAGAAAGCTACACTGGGAGTACCCTTGGGGCAGCACTGGTTCACGAAGGGGGAAGAAACAGCAGCTTCGTGGCTGCAGCCCATGCCAGGACCGTGCCTGGCAGCTTCCTGCCAAAGCCTGCCCTGCGATCGAGATAGGACCCTGCTGGCAGCCTCATAGGAGATACCTTGGCCCTGGGGCCACTTATTTCTACCAGCGCTGGCCCTAGATGAATCACCCTGGGCCCAGGCACGTGCCCCAGGGGGCACTGAAGGCAGGCTGCTAAAGGCATGAGATGACAAGACAATATGAGGGGGGGACAGAGGCCCACGATGAATGCATTGTCACAGCCGTTTGCTCATCGGCTCTGCAATCCAGGTGTTGCTCTCAGACCCTTCCAGCTGCTGGTTGGGCTGCCAGCATAGATGAAGCTTCAGAACAAGACTCTGAACCAGTTCATTCTGGTTTGACCCCGTGCTGAGGTCTGACTTCTCCACCCCAGTTACACATTTTAACAAGATGAGCCCCAGGTGATTCTTCTAGGTGCTTCTGGATAACAAGAATCACTCGAGGATCTTATGCAATCACAGGAGCACGGTGGCTCACTCCGTTTATCTGGGGTGGACAGCAAATTCTCAGCTGGGAGTTGAACCTTGGAACCGAATGAACCGGTTCAAAGCCCTTCTTCAGCAGGTGACTTACTTATTGAAGAGATGATTGTCCACTTTGATCTTGCTGTAGGCTTTGAAGTCATCTGGCATCAGCATGACAGGGACAGGGACATTGCTCAGCTCATTGATCTGCAAAAGGCGAGAGGAAAGTAAGGGACTTGACCAGGAGGCTGCTTGCCTGCAAAGTTCTTAAGAGGATAGACAGATACAGATGCCCAAAAGGAGGGCTGAACTGCCCGCCACGGCCCCCTTTTCGGCTGGTCTCCTTACAGAGCCCCCAGCTTCACCTCCACTGATCTAAATTCTCCCCATCTGCTACGGTCCAATGCAAAAGACTCCTATGTCGCCGCCCACCATTCTCTAGCCCAGAAGGGCTCCCCATTTTCCTCACATCTGTAGTCCATGTTGCTAAGCCTTGCAAGACTATAAGCTAGGTAAGCTATTACTGATCTCTGCAAAGAAAGATGGTCTGATTTGGGGGGACGCCACAGTGCTTGGTACCACATGGAAAGTAATGTTATCAAATGCGATAATAAATGGACCCTACCAGAACCAAACCCACTGCCATTGAGGTGATTCCCGTTCAGTGACCCCCGATGGAGGGAGGGTTACCGCGACTGTGAGTCTTTACAAGGAGCAGACAGCCTCGTCTTTCCCCCCCAGGCAGAGCAACAGGTGGGTTTGCAGCCCACGACCGGCTGACGACTCACCACAACCCTGAATGACAGCGAGAACTGCCTTTCGGGTTTCCAAGGCTCTAGATCTTTCTGAGTGAGATCTTTTGCGCTCGGAAAGATTAGAGTTCAAGCTGCAGAAATGGTAACCTTGCAGTTAGCAAGCCAGCCCATAGCCCACTGCACCACGAGGGCCCTTTCACTTCGCCCATCACTGCCATCAAGTTGTTTCTGCCTCAGAGTAGCCCCACACAGGGGTTCTCAGACTGTAAATCTTTAAAGGATCACATAGCCTCATCTTTCTTCTGCAGAATGGCTGGTTGAGTTTGAACCCACAAACTTGAGGTTAACAGGCCAACACGTAATTGACAGTTCCCCCAGGGCTCCTTCACCCTACCTAAACTCACAAACCAACTCACAACAAGGAGTCGATTCTGACGCACAGCAAGCTGACAGGTCAGGGCAGAACCAGCCCCATAGGTTTCGGAGGTTGTACAACGTTTCAGGAGTAGAAAGCCTCATCTTTCAACCCACAGAGGGGCTGGTGGGTTTGAACTGCTAATCTTGTGGCTAGCAGTCCAATGTGTAACCCACTTCACAACCAGGGCTCCTTTCACACCTAAGTGAGTGTAATTAAGGACTCCGACTGTATTAGTCTAGGTACTTAGGAGAAACAAATCCACGGCGACTCACGTATAAGAGAGAGTTTTATATAAAGAAAAGGTGCATCACGAAAACATCCCAACCCAATGCTGCCCAAGCCCACAAGTCCAACATTAACCCATTAACCCAACACCAGCCCACAAAGTCCTCCACCTCACAAAACAGAGGCAATGATGCCGACTGCAGGAGGAAAGCTGAGTCCGTGAACGTGTAAGCATCTCAGCACTGGCAAGGGTCTCCACACGGCTGCTCCAGCACCCAGGGCTGCATCGGGATAGATCCATGCGGCTTCTCCTTGAGGATGTCTTGTAGGAAGTCAATCTTGCAAGCTGAAGCAGGGAACTGCTAAGGCAGCTGCACCCGATACAACCATCACAAAACAAGAGACCCGAGAACTAGAAAGGCGAGGCTTCACCACCCATTTATCTCTCCGCCTTTCAACCAGCACCACATGTGATTATCGGCCAGGCTGGCATAATTAACTAACTCACCGACCTTCTGCATACAAATTGCAAGTGGCAGCTTGGGGCAGAAAAAAAAAAGCTGAATGGGTTTGTGTGGGTGTGTTAATAAGAGCCATGACATGAATGCATAGATGCACAGCACATTCATCCCAGCACCAATCAAAACAGCAACAAGATGGAAACAGCAGACATGCCCGGTGGAAGAATAAACAGACAGACGATGGGATACGGCATCACGTCAAAGAATAAGGGCGAGCCTCGAAACACCGCAGAACATGGGCGACGCAGAGGGCATGGTACCGAGTGAAATCCATCCATCCCAAAGACAGCTATTGTAAGAAGCCACCATTGAGTAAGAAGCCAAGACAAGGAATTCACACTGAAAGGAACATTCTTTGAAGGTTACCAGGGAGGGGAGGGCAAACTCCTGGTTAGATAGCAGCCGCAGTAGCTTGGGTGAAGGGGCGGCAGGCACAAATGATGGAAGCTGGGGGAGGCACGCGGAGAAAGGCAAGAATCAAAGGCAAAAGAGGTAACTATGACTACCTACCAAGCCTTTCAGAAGAAAGATGTGCTTGTCTTGGAGGCCACAGGGGCAGCTCTCCTCTGCCGTTGGAGGGATGAGTCATAAGGGACTCAGTGGCAGTGGAGGGGTGTTGACCAGGAGCCAAAGTCTCTACCTCCTGACAAGCCACCTTTCCCTACAAGGGTCTGCTAAACAGGTAGGCCAAGATACTGATCGGATTCACCTATGCCATCCTGCTGCTATAAAATGAGCCTTCTGAGAAGCTTGAGGGGGAATCTCTCTACCAGCAAAAGCCGGGGCTGGAGTGCAGCCTCTGGACCCCAACTCCCTGAACAGCCAACCTCTTGGATCCGGAAGGCAGCTGTCACACTAGAGGGGCCTCAGCAGGGAACAGAGTGCTGGACTTCCCAGCCCATGCAGCGTGCAGAGTAGTCGAGCAGTGCTTTGGGGCAGGTTGCTGGCTTGTGGAGTAGGGTGCCCCTGGGCATTTAATGATGGGAGCTGGGTTTGCTGACCCATGGGACTTGAGCTGAATGCCATCGGTGGAGGCTTCCAACAGTGTGGTATGCCCTTTGAGGGTCTCTTAGCAGCCCTGGCAGAACTCTGTCGCGTGTCCTGATAACCAACTCTATGCCAAGCACTGCTCCCCTGCGTTACGACCGGTTCCGGTAACTTCTTTAACAAGCCCTTTCACCGTGACTGTTGCCTGAGTTCTGTGTGGACATGAGAACCTAGGGATACCTAAATAAGTCAAAAGAACCTAGAGATGAAGGTAGAGAACCCTAGTTAACACAGACACTTACTAGTTGAACTGAAGACGGGCGGCAGTCCTGACACGTCCCCCTTCAGGCCTGGAAAGGAAATCACCTGTCTGGCTCCATTTTCGGCCAAACCCAGGCAGGTCTAAGGGGAACACTGGTACAGGAGGTGCGAGCACCTCAGGGAAATCAACCGCTTCATGTCCTGGGGCTGGGCAGCATTTGACAAGGATTGGCAAGGAAGAAGAAGCAGGAAACACTGGGAGGAATGAGTGGTGTGTCCTAAGGATTGCATCAATGTGATGAAATAAAAAGGGTTTGCATTATTGAATGGAAAACGGACCTGTTCGGTTAACCCTTCCCCCAATTTCTAACAAAGAGAAAAGAAATGGAGTCCCCGGGTTTTGCTTGCTTGAGTCTGCAGACGGGGTTCTGACCACTGACTGGCTCGCTCGCTCTGCCTAACTGTTCCGAGGAGGGCCTTTTCCCAATGCTCCAGTCCTGCCTTCTGCAAAACTGGGGGCGGGCGCTGGGGCAAGATGCTTTGTCCCTCCTGCACACAGACCTCATTTCCTGCCCCCTTGCCCTCCCGTCAGGGATCGGCTTCCCATTGGTGCAGAGCTGAGAGGGTGTGCCTCGCCCTTCCCCGTCCCCAGCTTAGCCAATGAGTGGTCTGATTAGCTGCTCTCCCCAGCAGCAGTGTCTGACATTTGACCCTCAACCCAGTTGCCACTAATGTGTCCCGGATTTGAGAGAGGAAATCTTAGCCCTGCCCTAATGGATGGGGTGGGTATTTGTGTCTCCCAAATAGTTGCCTGGTAAATCCCATTATCTCAATGAGGCCCCACGTGGCAGCGAGGGAACCACCTCCGGCCATTAGGACTCCTCCGGAGCACAAGTGGGGGAAGCGGCATTTAATTTGCTGCCCCTTTTATGTTTCAAAGCTTTTTTCTTTAGAAATGTCAGGGGCGTGGGGGAGGAGGTTCGGGGTTAACACAGTAACTTGGGAACTGTAGTTTCCTCCTGGGGACACGGGGAGGGGGACCACACCCTGCACGGGAGTGGATTCTGACTCTCAGTGACCGGAGATAGGATGTCCATGACTAGATCTCTAGAAGAGCCAGCACAGCCGCATCTGGGTCTGAACCACCAACCTTGTGGTTAGCAGCCCAATGCCTCCCACACAGCGCCACCAGGGTGGGCACCAGAGACTCAGGAAAGCAGTGGCAAAAACTGACTGGCACTGACCTAGAGGATGTAGGGCACGAGCCCACTTTAGAGAGAGGCGGCGCAGGATTCTGCCATGAGAGATCGGCTGGGCTGAAAGGCAGGGGTCGGTGTTAGTGCAAAGGGGCTTCAGAGAACTTTCTGGTGGAAATGGTCTTGATGCTGCTGAGGGGATTCTTACCAGGACAGCTACATTTGTTTCAATCCATCAAACCGCACACTTACAATATATACCTTTTATTGCATGCAAACTATGTCTCAATAAAGTTGACTTTAACACTTTCTAACGTGCAGGCTTAGGCTGTTGCCCACTGGCCACACCATCCCAACCAGTGGAAAAGCTAGGGGGGGCAGGTGAGGGGACGGAAGTGGGAGGGCAGCAGGGAGCCAGGTCCCATCCCAAGGGGCGCTCACAGAGAGTGTGGCAGGGGCTAAACCTGGGCCTTCAGAGGAAACCACTCCACTTCCTGGTTCCCTTGCCAACAGAACCGATCCACAAGCCTCTCACTTCCTTTTCCTGGCACACTGAGCCCGGCTCTGCGAGATAAAGGGGAAATCAGGACGAGTATGGTTTTACACTAACATGTTGCCAAATATGCTACAATTCCATTCTGGGTTAGCCTGAATCCAGAGTTGGTGCCACGGGTTTCAGGGCTTGGTGGTTGGAGAACCAGCAGAGAAGACGACCTGTCTTGTGACTCTCTCTCTGTAACCCCGGTGGTTAAAACTCACTGCATCTCTGGTCTGGGGACATTTCTATCATGAATACACACCTGAAATAGGTAGCCTGATAGGACTTTGAGGGAGATCAATGGGG